AGAGAGAGAGAGAAAGAGAGAGAGAGAGAGAGAGAGAGTAAGAGAGAGAGAGAACATATTTACATCCTCGAAGCCGCTGACCACTGATGCAGTATTTCGTAGACTGTAATGGTCAAACCATGGGAATAGGAAGATTCGATTCAAAAGTTGGAAACCGGCGAATATTTGAAGCTAATTTGCTCGATTTGTTGAATCGGCAGAAAAGGTCGATTGCAAAAACAGAACAAACAAAACAACAACAAAAACCCAACCCTTCAACCCCCTTTAAAAAAGGCAGGAATAGACCAATCCGTTGTGGAAAGTTAGGTTTAGCGTTATTTTAATCACTATATATCTTCATTCACGATCAAAAGTTTGCAACACCTCGTGTCTTCACTTACTTTTGGATAAGCATGTGATTTTCGCCCCAGTCTCAATCTTCTGCCATCCGTTCGAACAAAGATATGATTTGAACTAATAGCAGTGGAACAAATTCAAAACAAATGTGAGCATCTTTTTTCATTTTGATGTGTTATTGCGAAGATCTTAGTTCGAACAGCGATTGCGAACTCAACGAATCATCTGTGTCCTATTATAAAGTTCGGATTCGCAAATCTGAGAGTTTGTGGAATCAGGCCATCATTTGTAGTTATTCTTTTTAGATATAGTATGGGTATTTTACGATCTCACAGGTGTTGCGTTTTACTGGCTACAAGTTCGATACTTTTGCTACATTCTGGTCTTAGTTTTGTTTTAGTAAGAATTTTAAATCACTTGCAATACAATAAGGACATAAAAGATCTGAAGATCAAAGATGTTACAAGAGAGTAACAAACACAAAAAAAGAAGGAGGGGAGATCAGAACGATAGATGTTTGATAGAGAAAAAGGAGATAACCACACCAGAGCACCCGCCAACCATCCACTTTTCCGGTCTTAGGCAAAGGGAAGCACACATACTCTACAATAATATGGTCATTGAATGTTGATATTTTTACGCCCCTGTCGATACAAGTTAGATGTAAAGGCGGATTACGATTCTGCCTTATAGGGCCATCCCAAGCTGAGAAGGACAAAACGTTTCTGCATAAAGACCGCGAAACACGAAATACAATATAAAGAAAATATCTCCCCGTTCTGGAATCGAACTGGGGTCTCCTGCATGCTACAACGGAGCGCCTAACCGCTACACCACGGACTCTCATAATTGTCATTTAGTGCATGAAATAGAATAACAATATCAGCACTAATATCAGTACTAGCACCACCACCACCACCAACAACAGCAACAACAACTACACCGACAGCAACAACAACATAAACAACAACAACGACAACACCATCAAGTACATCGACATAAACAACAACAGCTTATAGAAATAACAAAAATGGGGCATAACAGAGGTCTGACAAACACATGTAATCGTATCGTTCTAACTGGGGACTTTTTGACAGCTGAGTGCCAGACTCCCACAAAGTGCCAGACTCCCACAAAGTGCAAATTATAGCGTTTGTGGGGATCTTGCATCAAGCAATCAAGTTTCGAAAGTTGCACGCTGGACCACTTTGGGCGAACTCACCTCCTTTACTTTCAGTGATAAAGGTGCTCTTAGCGTTGGCGTTGTTCACATGAGACCTTAGAGGTTTCCGCTCATATCCGAGAAGTTTGGTACAAGATGACCTATCCCGTCTGCCAAAGAATCAGGGTGTCAGAAACCTGAAGGAAACGCCAGAAATATTTTGTTATTCATATGCCATATCCCAACGAAGAGGACATTGAGGAGGAAAAGGGATTGAGGGGGGGGGGAGGAGGAGGAGAAAGTGGTGGTGGGTGGAGGAGGGGATCAACATGGTGCATAAGAGTGAATTAAAACATATGGTGGACAGTGAGAAGCAGGAGAGGGGAGGAAGAGAAGAAAGAGGCGGAGGAGGAGGAAGAGGAAGAGGCGGAGGAGGAAGAAGAGGAGGAGGAAGAGAATGAGGCTGAGAAGGAGGAAGTCGAAGAGGTCGAAGAGGTCGAGGAGGTCGAGGACGAGGACAAAGACAAGGACGAGAGTGAATGGATAACAGGAAAGAAAAAGGCAGGTGGAAAACGACGACGAAAAGGAAGAGGATCGGAAGGAAGAGGACAGGGAGAAGTGGAGGGGAGGGAAAAGAAAATAATGAGAAAGACAAGAAAAGAGAAAAGAAAACAAAATAATATAAAGGAGACTCCTCTCGAATTTTGGTAATAGAAGATAGCAATTTGCTTTTCCGCCAAAGAGAACCAACCCAGCCCCTCCACCTCTCTCTTTTCCACTCCCCCCCCCTAGTTTTGAACCACCCCCCCCCCCCCCCCCACACACACACACTTGCTCCCAATGGTGTTTTTCACTAGTTAACAACACAGATACGGCACTGTAACATTACACTTGCGAACTTAAAAACTTCAATGGTCACCCTATGTTGCACTTGCGAACTATCCGATATCAGGTCAAAGATTGGATTTTGCTCCAATATACCCCCCCCCCAACCCCGCCCTCCCCAGGTCACCCAAACACCAAACATGCCAAACAAGTGAATCTGTTAAACGCATGACAATTAAACGTATGTGTCATAGCTTATGCAGTTATAATCCCAGGCTAAAGGCGTAAACACAATACGTGACTGCAGAGCCAGTATATGAGACAGTCTCAAGCTTGTAAACACAGGGGGAAAGCATTATGATAGAAGAATTGGAGAGCCATCATCATCAACCATCCTATGCATTTACGAGTACGAGTACAACTCGATTACGAACTATTTGGTTCGCACATGCAATGCTTTAATTTTTGTTGAACCACAAAAGGTTCCCACGTGTAATGTTTAAATTTGCTCAAAATTGAATATGTTCGCGACTGTGATGTTTTTGAATAATAAGCTTCCCAAGTGTAATGCTCTCGCCCCCAAGACCACCAAATCACTCCCAGCTTATTGCTGCACCATAATGTCACCGCACTGTACCATAGTGGGTGCCAAAACTATGTCAGGTCCGATCCCTCAACCTCCCACACTATCACCCACTTACGCTAAATAGTTCTCACAATCCTTGCCTAGCGTTGACGTGATATATTGTGAGAGGAATTTTTGTAGTTTTTAAGAAGTTTACGGCATTTGCAAACACATTGAGGTTATATTATATAAATGCCGAAGATTAGAGGTGGTATAAGAGATGTAACAAACTCAAAAAAACACAAGAAAATAGAACGAAGAGAGATCAGGGGGGTAGATGTTTGACAGCATAGAAGGAGCAAACCACAGCGGAGCACCCGCCAACAGTCCACACAGCGTTATCACACTTCTAAACCATAATCGCAGCCAAAAGTATGTCAGTTTCTATCACTCAACCCCCTCCCCACACACACACACAGACACTATAACCCACTTGCATTAAGAAGCTCTCCCAATCCCCCAATCCTTTCCCAGTACATACATGATCTATTGTGAGAGGAACGTCTGTCGTTTTTAGAGTTTTACGGCACTTGCAAACACAATAAGGTCATAAAAGTGCCAAAGATTAGTGGTGTTACAAGAGAGTTACAAAGGTAAAAAAATGAAGAAGGAGAGATCAGGACGACAGGTGGAGGTAAGCTAGAAGCAGTAGCAAACCACACCAGAGCACCCGCCAACCGCCCACGCACTATACCATCCATCTACACTACAAACGCTGCCAAAAGTATGTCAGATTCGATCCCTCAACCCCCCACTATCACCCACTAGCATTAAGTAGTTCTCACAATCCTTGCCCAGTGTATACATGATCTATTGTGAGAGGAACGTCTGTTCGCAAAAGCCTAGCGGTCCCAAACTACCGTGCATTAGTGCAAAACAGGGAAGGGCATTGTTGGTTAATGGATCGGGGATATCCACAGCCGTGGAACAACGACAGATGCTGTTTTGTTTGGGTAAAGAGACGCACATCGGCACAATAATAGTCATTCATTTGGTGCTGGGAATAAGTAAGACAGAAAGGCACTTTACACGAATTTTCCTCCTTTCGCCCAGGTGGGTATGGGTACCCAGCTATAGACAGCGAAAGACCTTGTCCGTTTGTTAGTGTATGAGCGCTTAATCAGCTGCTTGCACTGTATGTTTCCCGGAAAGCTGAGAATTGTTTCTGATTGTTTTATGATCTGCTGGGGTAATAATAATGTAAAACGCCTAGAGTTTGCTGTTGAGCAGGGGTGTGCGCTAAGCAAATGCTTTTTTATTATTATTTATTGTTATTAAGTAGACAGAGAAAGAGAGACAAAGACAGAGGCATAGAGTAAGAAAGTTAGAGAAAGCGAGAAAGCGAGCGATAGAGAAAGAGAGAGA